GCGACAAACAAAGTAATTGTTGATGATAGATTAAGACCTAGATTGTTAACTGTATTTAATAATGTCATATAAGTGCCACCAATTTTCGGATCACTAATTTGGGCAAAAAATGCAATCAGTGCTACCATCATTGAATAATGAAATATTTCATTTAAAGCTAATACACTTACTAATATTAAATAATAATACCATTGGAATGGTTGTGAAAATTGCGGTGTTAAATGAACAAATAACAGAACGAGCAAGCCTGTAAATATACGTGGAATGTAGCAGAATAGAAGTACAGTTACTGGTTTCGAACCAGCCATACAGCGAGTAGTGCTAAATGTTACACAAACTTTAATTAGAGCTAAAGGTATATCCATAAGGCCTATAGTTTGTGTTCTAACACCGTTTTTAACCAATGTTAAATTCGTCATTGAAAAAGTAGCCGCAAATCCCATTGTATACGTGAGCGAAATCAGTGCCAACTGACGTACACAAGATTTTTTAAATAATTTAAATACATCTGAATAGGTATCATAAAGCCCATCGATTTTAGCATTTTCTGTATCTTGCTGCAGTTGTTCTCGTTTACACAAAATAATTAACGCAGTAACGAGAAGAAATACACTACCGCAAAACAGTAAAAATTTAGAAAAACTAACTAATTCATACGGATGTTCTTTCAACGATAAAAATCGACGAATATATTTATTACTAAATTCTGTTGATCCTAATGTCAACACTAAACAAAACGCAAATAATCTGCCAAATGACAATCCACCCATATTACATATGCCAGCCCAGCCAACATTTTCTTTTGACAGTAGAGTTAGAGCCCAACCGTCGACAGCAACATCTTGAGCAGAGGTAAGAAAACACAACGCAAAAAAAATGATAGTTAATATATAAATTTTTCTTTCTGTTAATAAAAATGAAATATAAAATGACAATAGAATCATTGCTAAACCAGTTAGTAACTGAAGAGGTATAATCCATGTTTTTCGTCGTCCAAATTTTTTTATAAAAACTGAATCAATGAACGGCGCCCATAATAGTTTTAGACTGAAGGGCCAAAAACTAAAACTAAATGTACCCAATTCTTTCCATGGACTACCATAGAGAGCTAATAATAATGGGATACAGCTAGCGATACCGATCGTAATACCTTGAAGTATATACAAAACTAATAGTAAATTTATATTAACAATATCTTTGCGCCAGTTCTGCTTAGGCAATACTTCTTTCATTTCCTCTATATACGATATATTGAATCAACTATATCTGCACAAACTAAACTTTACCAATGGTAAGAGATAGCAAAATGTATGCTATCTCTTACCATGTGATTTTTATCTGTATGTCACGTTTGTATGTATACATCAGGTGTATTCATTTAGTAGTTATCAGCTATATAACGTTCGTACACATTATATATAACGTGAATAAGAAAAGAAAACAGAAAAGAAAATCTTTTTTGGTTTTTTGTATGTTAATTTTTTATGTTATTGCAAACTAGTCTTGGGCTGAGCTATGTAGAAGGAGGGAATGACATACATTGTAAACAAAACTTTTTGTATTTTTACTTTTTTTATTACTTTTGTAAGCGCTTACGAGCGTATCAATAAATAGCATAGCGAAAAAAAAAGAAGAAAGAAAATCGCTGTTTGTGGAAGCTATAATGTAAGTAAAGATAAAATCGAGAAGAGCACGCAAGGATAAAATTTTCTGAAGTAGAAGGAAGAAAAAGCACAAGAAAATGTTCTTCTGTTACATGTACATATAATGTATAGTGCATGCTAATAGCATTAGATATATATGAGTGATTCTGATAAAAATAGTACCTTTTTTGTGAAAAAATTTGACCCAAACAAAAGATAAACATCTAGGTTTTTTCTTATCATATATCGATAGTGTGTACCTAGGAGTATCACAAAACACGGTTTAGCAAACTACCATTACTTTGTTTTCCAGATTTGAAAAACATTTTTCTATGATCGGCGTCAAAACACCTGGCACTTGGTTGCGTTTTGAATATCTTTTGATAGAAAAGAGTTAGAGAACTCTGATTTTCGCCATTCGAAAAAGGAGACATGTTTTCATAACAGTTTTTTGAAACAGGTTTTCTGGGAGATCTTTAGAAAACTACGCCATCTGTAAACATTTTCCAATAGGATTGCATTGCGTTTTTCTTATGCGCTGATAGCCGGGGATGTCCTCTTCAAAATGGGAGTAAAGTGAGACCTTGATTTTCCGCGGTTCGGGCGTTGTATCAGATTTCCAACGAGTCCCAGGACTGACACCCGGTAACTATTGGCTCCTTACAGACGGATGCGCTATGGGTAGTCGACCATGCTCAGTTTCTTGGCAATATTTATTTTTAGAAATATTTGCTTATCGAATACAAATGGATACAAAAAGCCGAAAATACCACATAAAATAAAGAGCTGTACTATTGTACTGTGGTTTTTTGAATGTGCATAAAAATTATCTTTTTGACCAAAGATTCAACGAAATAAATTTATACGTACTGCTATGTTTGAATCATCCGACAGTTTTTTTCCTGTTAATAACCCATCACTATTAGCTGATATTTCATGAAGTTCAAGAGTTCCTTTAATTGATTTTAATTTTGGCAACGTTTGTTTCACTTTTTCTATATCATCCGTTGCATAAATAGATAATTTAATATTTAAACGATTTTTTATGTTGTCTAACAAGTCTTTTGCATTTGCAAATGCCGCATCTGGGTAAAAAGAGACTGCTTCATTCATGGTGCGCTTAATGACTGCTCCAACACCATCTGCTGCTCCTTTTCCATATCCTGATTCTAAATAAATCCATTTTATTTCAACTCTATTTTGTTTTGCAAATTGTGCTACTAGAAACATGATTGTTTTGTTTCTATATTGGCTGACAGGACTACCGCTAATAATATTCAAGTATTTTATGTCATTTCTATTCACCAATGTTTTTAATAATGGTAGAAGAGATGCCCATGCCGCCTCACCCATATGATTACAGTCATCAGATAAACACGCGAATCCATATGATTCTTTTTGACTGCAAACATATCCTGTTGCCAATGAAATCTTTTATTCGTAATAATATGCAGATTTTTCTTCTCTTGATTGTTTTAAGGCATAACTTTTAGACCAATCGATTTGTAATGTTGCTGTATTATTATTATTTGTTGCATTCATTCGAGCTTGTTTAAATGCATGAAATTGAGATTTAATTCTTTTTATATGATCTTTTAATACCTAAAACATAAATGTTTGTGCTAATAGTATAAGAAAGAATATTCCTTTCTATCACTTTTTTTCAGAGCCTGCTTATGAACCTTGAAATGTGCATATTATACTTTTGTCTATCTAGACGATTATCAATCAACAGACCAAGAAATAAAGACAAGAAATGAAACTCTTTCGATCTCCATAATTTACATCAATTTCTTTAATAAGCTTGACAATAAAAATTTTCATCGTATCTGTACAGGTCTTCTTCTTTGATACTGGTGCTCTACATCCAACCTGTTTTTCTTTTTGCCACTCAATATATGTGATTGTAACTTTTTGTTTTTCTAACAATTTTATTTTTTTCAAAAACTCTTCAAATTTTAAATCATCTTTGATGATGTTATGCAAATCTGTATCAGTATTATTGATCGTGTTCATTCGAATTAATTTCTCCAATTTCATTTGAGGATTAAGACATAACATGCAAAGACATGTCCCCCAGTCGTTCACATTCGTTTTTTTAATATTTGGCGGTATGTATTGGCAAAACACAGAATATGAACATGATGTCCCAGTTTCAGCTTGGAATTGTTCATGTAAAACATTTAAATTATGAAGTCGATAACGAATTGGAACACCTTTATGCATCTTCTTTACATTCGGACAAACTTTAGACACATTATCACAATTCATAATTTCAACAACATTCTGTTTCAATTCGGATGAATTATCTTCATTTGACGGTGTGACATTTTTAGAAATATTACCCCTAAATTCCCCACATTAGCTTCGATTGACACCACGTGATATGTTGTCTTTATTTTCAACTAAACGATTGTTCGCTTTCGGACTTATACTATTCATCATTAATTGTTGTGCATTATTTGGAACACTATCAATATCAATTCCAGTATCTGAAATATCGAACGAATTATTTGTTGTTCCATCTTGTTGTTTATCTTTCATTTAATTACGTTCATCAAATGATTAATACGATGTGTTTATCTCTTTATTTCTCTTTTTAATTTCGTTATTTTAATTTTTCGTACATATACTAATTTAACTAATTTTTCTAGTTTATGGTGTAATTTACTGACGGTAATTCGACGTCGTCTGAGACCTTTTCTTCTGGCTATCACTCTTAAACTTTGTGGCAGTTCTTGTTGTTTAATTAGCTGTCGATATGCTGCCTTTCTTAAACCGTTCCATTTCTTTCACCTTCAGATTATAGCTACGAGATATTTTTCGTTTGATATTTTCTTTATTTCTCCAGTTCTGAATATTCAAACGTTTTCTTTCAAAATATGTATTACTTTTTTTCCATGCCATGTTGCACAAAATAAAGATTTAATCTAAAAAATATAGCTCTTCACGATTCTAAAGATATGTTGTGTAACTTCAAATATCAGGTTTATGCATAGAGAAGGGAAATATATATCGAAAAATAAAACATTTTTTAAGGAATCAATATTATTATGAAGTTGGATGAATTTTTTAAATTATAGTTAAATAATTTTCCTTCGTAATAACAAGGCTGAACGAATTTTATATCCAAGGTTTTCCAGAAACCCTTTCCGAAATACAAGAGTTTTTTCAATATTTTTCCTAGATTTCTTATAAATAGAATATAAAATAGCCCAAATAATCTATATTCTGAGGTTTTTTGAAATTCCACCTTATCTACCCATGTAAGAAAAGCAACAAAAAAAATTCTTGTACTTCGGAAAATTTCTAGAAAACCCTCTCAAAAACCAGAGTATTTTCTGTCGACTTTTAAAGCTTCTAGTAAACTGCATAGTATTAAGCAGGTAAAATAGAGTACATGTTGATATTCTGACATAACTTGGATTGATCTTGACTAAGTTATAAATTTTTGAATTTTACTCAAAAATAGGCAAAAATGAGATATTTCACCTAATGTACGTTTCTTCTAGGTTTTTGAAACTGTTTTGAAAAAAAAATCTTGCCATGAGATTTAGCACAGTCGGTAACCTATGTTTTCATTCGTTTCTGACAGTCTCAAAACTAACGGTAGAGGAGTCCTAAGGCTGCAAGGAAAACGCCCGTAGTTCTCAAACCATGGATTATCGAGATGTCGCTTGGATCTGATTTTGTAGAGAACACCTTTGACTATCCATATATGAAAAAAACTGATAGATTCTTATTTAAAGTTTTGAAACTATAAACTGGTTTTCCGGAGATCCACTCAGAAATCCTCCAGAGATCAACACAAAAGTTTTGGTTTCTGCACATTATTACGTGTTTCGATCTTGGCTACACGGTGGCAAAAATCCGATCTCGATAGCTCATTCTGTTCTCGAGTTATTCATGTCGCAATCACCCACACTACATTTTGAAATGGATAGTAGTACTTGAAGTTCTTGAGCAATGGCCTGATTTTTCAAAGATCTCTTAAAAAGCCTGCTTTGAAAGAGATTTTTGAAATCTTTTCTGTTTAGAAAAGATGCACTCAAGTCTTCTCTTTCCAATGGTGAACATCCGAACACTCTAGCCCTTTTGTGCTGGACTTATTTAAAAAACAATCGAGAGCACTGGGTGTTTTCGATAACAGTGAAAGAGAAGAAACAGGTTTGTAGAGAATGCCCTTCTCTAGAAAACCATTTTTTGATCGGTCTAAATGCTATTTATGCGCTTCAGTAAATTCAACGTGTTTCGAAACCTCTACACCAGAAATTTGGCTTTATACGCGCGTGTTATGTTAAAGTTACACAAGAAACAGAAAAAAAAACGGTTACGGCACAAAGGCGGTTACGGGACATTTCTTCGTATTTTCTACTTTTCTCCCTTATACAGCAATCGTAGTCTTTGCTATTTATACAGGATCATCGTGTGAGTAGACAACACTTATGGTGAAAAAAGAAACTTTCTATCAAGCCAGGTTGAGGCGTGGTATAGTAGGTGGTTACGGGACAAATTGTCGGTTAAACCTCACATAACTTCAGTGAAGTAGGAATTACTTGGTAGTGAAAAGTGATAGAAACGTCGGATTTTCGCTGTTGTCTATTCTATATATTTAGTGAACTTTTGGCATATAAAGAAGGCAAATTGAATAACTTATCAGAGCTATCAAAGACCATGCGGTTACGGGACAGAAAAAAGGACTTTTTCGGGATCACAAATTCTGAACAAATTTGTGAAAAAACAGAATAATCAGTAATAAAGGTAATTCATCAAGACTCAAAAAAGAAACGCTTGGGATCATTTACATCATTCGAACGGTACTATTTTTATCAGAATCACTCATATACGTATGAAAGAAAAGGCGCAATGTTGTTGTTAGTTATAATTTAAATTTTGTATTATTCCGAAAAATGCGTGCAGCTCCTCCAGCACACTACTACGATATTCTAGTCACACGTAAATGTGAAATTCGTGATCAGCGTAGGAAATGCTATCGATTGGTATAATTTTATCAGAATCGGCTTGGCGGAAGCGAAGATAGGAAAACCTCCGAATCTTACGGATAATACGGAAAAAAGAAGTGCGATTGTACTAGTAGACAGAACAGAGTATCTTTTCTTACTGCCTCTACCATTTGAACCAGAAAAGTATGATTAGCTGACTAAGAAATGCTCCTTTCTTGCTTATCCACACTATTTCCACTGGGTAAGTGCTGATCTAGTTAAATTTTAACACTCTTATGTTCGTACCGTACTGATTTATGCTGTAGCACGACAGCGAGTATCTATTTAATCAACAAGCGGAAAAATCAACAATCTATCAACGTAATCACATTATCTTCGCAGAGTCCTCTGATGCGAACTTAATTAAAGCACGTTTCGGGTCGCTGGCGACCGCCCGAGTGAAACAGCACCCAGAGAAGATACTCCGGTATCGCGTTATTAAGACGAAACATCTAATTCCCCTGTATTCTTGGTAAAAGCGATGTTGGACTTATCTGGGCCGCGGCCTTGGCAGCCCAGAGCAAGATTTGATGATGATATGTACAGATATATATGTATGTTTTGTAGTATATGTAATAGTTCTGGTATCTGTGCAAGGCGCGTGTAATGTATAGTGCATAGTTCTGAAATTTTGAAATCCTGATAGCATTAGATATATATATAATATATATATATCTAATGCTATCAGGATTAGATATTACATGTATACATATACGTGTATATGAGGGGTAGATGGGGACTTGTAGGATTTCTCGGATCTGAATATCATTCCCTACCTAGAGTAGACAACCCTCTATAATTATGCCTCATTATGAAAGGTTTTGATTATTTTTTAGAATTTCTCAAAAACGGATTTTGCAGAAAACCGAGACTTCAGGAGCCATGGGCAAAAATCAAATCATTAGTTTTTTGCGCTTCACTTGGCCTTTCGAATTGCGTAAGAATGAAGGGGCTACTTATTATGTGGAATCTACAAAATTTGATTTAATGCAAGATGCCCAAAGTCGAGGTGTTTTGCTTTGAAAATTATTCTAATCGAGATAAAGCTTGAAAACAGTCCTAAAAACAGTTGTCTATGGTCAGTTTTGCACGAGAAATTTGAATATAATTTTAGAAAAATTTTCGAATTTAATTTGACGGAGATAGAGCTTGGTTTTTGAGGCGGCATGTATTTTTCATTTTTGAGTTCTCATTGTCGTCCAATTTTCTCCATGAAGCGACTTTCAAAACTGAAAAAAAGGTCAGATTCGTGATCAGCAGACCAAGACGCCTCAGAATATGTGTTGTTTAAAGGAAAACAAAACATGTGCAAATTTCGAATTACGTGCACCTTACATTTTTTACTGAGAAAAAAATGTAAAAGATCGGGACATGCTCAATTTCAAAACGCGACTGACAGAAATTGATAAAATGATCTTAGATGTTTTGGAAACAGTTTTTTGAAATTTTAAGCATACCATTAGATTCGCCGTGAAATTCTGCGTCTTTATATGTAGTTCGTAGCTTGTTGAAAGACAGATGGGCCAGGAAATGTTTTGAATTAAAAAATGTGAAATTACAGAAATAATCGCTGTTCTGACAAACGGTGTCAACTTATATCTTCGAGTTTGTGAAAATTACAGTTTTCACTTTTTAAAGTGAGAGACACAGCAATATGTTTAGCGTTGAACTCTGCATTTAACTGTGTGAAATAAACTTTTTGTATATTAACCTGGTTCTGAAAAATCCATTATCTCAAAAACGTGACGGAAAGACTAACACCTCTCAGTTCGTATTTCTGCCAAACCAAAAATTCTGTAATTAGAAAAAAAATGTATTTGAGAAACGAGAATAGGTAGTTTTGTAGAGCTTTCAATTCTATATCGAGCGAGCTCTGAGCCAAGTCTTCACAATAAAAGAAAATACCTCAAAAATAGGAAAACATTTTGACCCGTTTATTGTGGTTCACCGATTACGCAGCACCTCACGTTACTGCTTTCAAAACATTTTTCTCACTTCACAACCAAACCAAAGATCACTGTTCTCCACTTTAAAAATGACTTTCTTCCAGCAAAAGCTTTCTCGTGAGATTCTAATGTTTAAGACTTTTCGAATGGTGCATTAACAATGATTTTCTCCATATCTTTTGCTTAAAAAGCGGCTATGCATGCATAAAAACAAAAAATTAAGTTCAGATTCGAAATCAGGATGTAAAAAAACCTACACATGGTTATTTTCCGCTAAGACTAAACAAATGAAGATAAGCAGAAAAAAGTAGGTAAGAGTGAGGTTTGAGTCTTTCTTTGTCTTTCTGCGGCGAAGTTCCAAACACTACTGCTTGGCAGAGTTAGCCGTTTCACTAGGTCATCTCTGTAACTCAGAAACACGCGGCCACCAGGTCAGTGACCTCCTGACGCCACAGTTTTCTGAGTGGGTAAAGTGGATCCATTTAGATGGGTCACTCAGTAGGTCACTGACCTGCTTTATTTTTTAACCAAGAAAAAGCAGCAAGAACATATCGGAAAGTAGTAGATATTCTGTTATCTATTGCATAAGAATAGTCGGATTTATTAGTTGGTCTATAAGAATATTGGTAATGTGACGATGGGCACTCTTGATGAAGAGAAAGCACTCAAATACTATCATAAAGATTCGTTTTTTATTATCGATTTCGTTCTGGTTCAAGATTAAAGCCTGTACCAACAGTTTCTGTTTTTTTTTCTTGTTTTCACACTAATGACTTACATGAATTTATTTAGAGAAATCTCGAATCGAAGATTCACTCAGGCAGATCTTAAATTCGGGAATAAAAGAAGGATTATCTCATATTAACCAGAAAGGTGTTTGATATAGGCGAAAAGACAAGTCTGAAACGTCGATTGCTACCAATAGCTGGTATTATTTGTAAACGAATGAGAAA